GATAGTCTTTGATACCTTTCAAGCCCAGATACAGGGATTTGAATTGGCCCACCCCAACAGCTACCCCATCAATGAACTGCTGGGATACATGAAAGGGCTGGTCCTGTAGATCCAAAACTACAGGATATTCATGACACAGGGCACCAGTAGGATATCTGAGAGGAATCCCAGTGAGGTTCCTGTATTGATAGTGTAGTAGAAGCCAGATGCCTCCTACCAAGCCAAGTCATTGCAATGAACATTTGCAAGCAAAGAAGGGTAGACAAAGGGGTGTACTGTGTGGTGTACTATGACACATTACAGCTTCCACAATGAGAGTTTTCTCTGTTATGGGGCGGTTGCAAGGGTGGAGGGAGGGTATGAGGGGAAGGGGAGATGAGTGGGGCTAGTTGAATAATGTGAAATTCACATCAATAAAAAGTTTAAAAAGAAAGAAAGAATATTAGATAAAGATGGTAATAGGATTGCTCATTGCTGCATGAATTTTTTTTTTCTGAGGAGACATGAACTAAACTCTATTCATACCCAGATAAGACAACAACAGAGGACAAAAATAATAATTCCACTGAAATTCACCTTACTGAATCAATGAGTTTATGGAGCCTACTTTAGGGACACATGTGAAGGTTTTCTCACAAGCATAGGGGTAGCATCACCAAAACCTCACCACAGTGTGAGTGACAGTCTCCCCAAACTGAATAGATGGTGCTCTCCTTTTGCCGACTCCTCCACACTGAATACTTTATAACACCCTGAAACTGTAAGCAGCTAAGGCAGAATTATATACAACTGGGGGGTACAGAAGACAGTGGCTGGGATTTCAGTTGACGGTCTAATGACCCTCCCCCACCTCAACAGAGCTGAACTTATGATGGTCTCTTGAAAGTAATCACAGTTGCTTTGGGTAAGGTGGTAACAGCCCTGTCATGCCTGGAATACAACATTCAGAAAACACTCATAAAACAAGGGAAACAGACATGACTAGAGTTCAGTTTACAAAGTGAGGCATAGGACTTACTCAATCTTGTTCACTGATTACTCTTCATCGTTTTAGTAGGTATGCTGGATTATTTGGATTGGGTCTCTCTCTCTCTCTCTCTCTCTCTCTCTCTCTCTCTCTCTCTCTCTCTCTCTCTCCTATAACTTAAGAGCCATGTAATCTTATCCTCCTTCTATGTCTTTAAGATCTGTACTCATAACAAGTTCTTGAACTCTGCACTCATATCAGGTTGTATCATTAGACACTTTTATAACATGTTGGGTTAAACTCGTAACTCCTATCCAAAATGTCTACATTATATCTTGGAACAAACACGTGACAGTTGTCTGTCCCAGGGAGTCCACTAGTGGTTTGATATAGCCTTTTGAATCCTCCTAAGAGTGAGAGCTTAAATGAATGAATAAAAAAGATATGTGCACTTACAAGAAAACTCACTTATGTTAAATAAAATTTAGTTGTATAGTATATATGCTTCTTAATTAAACCATTGTAAGCAAAGCTATCACAGCCTAGTAGAAGTCATATTTTTCGAAGAACTGATTAGAATAAATACAATTTTGAGGTATCTGCAACAACTAATTTCAAAAAATAAATCTATGATTTTCATTAGTTGCCAATATCTCAGATATTGATAAAATTGGATGTAGAGTTGGAGATGCTATGTAGTGGTATGGTTCTGGCCTAGCATGTACAAGTCCCTAGGGTTGATCCCCAATATCAGAAAAACAGAGTAAACAAATCTGTAACTGGGTCTGGTGGAATATACTTATAATTCCAGCACTTGAGAGGTAGAGGCAAAAAGATCAAAAATTTGGGGCCAGCCAAAGCTACATGTAACAGTCACAGGAAACTAAAACCCAAACCAACCAACAAAATACCTCTTAATAACTGTATGCAGATGTCATGCACTATGTAAGGAAATGCCAAATGTCAAAGTCTGATAAAAATAAGGGTACAATATTTTTCCTTCCCAATCCCATAGATCCCTTTCTTTCTACCCACAGACTCAAAATCCATGGATACCAAGTTAAAAATTCCCTGCCTTGGGAATATGTCTTGCTAAGTAAAATTGTCTGGTCTTAAACTCATTAGTGATCCTCCAGACTCTGCCTCCTGAGTGGTGAGATTACAACCATGTGTCTCCATGGATTGTTAGGAGTTATTTAGGAAAGGCTAAAGGCATCCAAGTGACTGTCCTGGAGATGGCCCACCATTTTTGCATGGCCTGCAGTGTGTGAGCTCTGAGAGATAAGGTCCCAAGAGACTTCATCCCAGGGTTGCTTCTTACTACTGACATACCTTCTCTTGTCACTATTATTTAGCATAATGACTCCTGGGCTTTAATCCACCCTATTGGGCAGATCTCCTGCAGATCAACATGAAGATGAACTTTCATAAATTAATGCTGTTTAGATGAGTTAATGACTATATAGAATTCCTGAATTGAATCAAATAATTTTAAGAAGAAAGTTTTAGGAGATAGTTTTAGTTGTTTTGCTAGAAAGATGTAATAAAGTTAGAATCAAGAATAGAATGTGCCCCCTTCTCATAGAATAGTAAGTAAAGGCTGCATAATAAAGACTACAGTGAGCTTTCCAAATTACACTAAAAAGAGAAATAGGCTTGGGACAAATTTGTGACTAAGAAAAAAAATCATTCTAGATCAGGACCAAGATTAAAGCCACAGGTGTGCACTATGATAAAGCTAGGCCATGTGAAACTGCTGCTTTGAACTTATAATGAGCTTATAGAATGAAACACTGCTTTGAACTTAACTATTAACATCCTTCTGTAACTCTCCTTTTGTGTAATATTTTATCTATGATGTAATTTTCTAAAGAATTTTGTCTAAGAAAATATAAAAAGAAATAAAGTAGTGACATCTGGGGATCTGCCCCATCCACCCACCAAATGTATGGGTGTAGCTTTGGGGGGGGCTCTGTCCCATCCATCCAAATGTATATATGTATATGTCTGTTTGTCTATAAATACACGTGTAGGTATATGTGCATGTATGTAAGCATACATAAACACTTGTGGAGCCTAAAAGACTGGTGATCTGTCCTGACCAGAGTGTATGAATGTGTATGTGTCTGTGCATATCGCCTGTGCACAGATTTTAATTCTACTCCTTTCTTTTCTCTCTGGTTCACAAACAGTCAATGAGTTCTAAACATCTCACCTAGCCAATGAGAAGTCCTTGGGCTAGAGAGAAGGGAAAGCAGTGCTTATTAAAGCACACATAGTAAAAGAGCTACAGATTGAAGAAACCAGCACTTAATAAAGCACAAATAGTAAGAAACAAGCACTTATCAGCACAGTAAGATAGAGTTAAGTTTCCAGAGGCTATCGGTTTTTGGCCCCCAGAATAATAACAGAGAGTTACAATGTCACAGATCATCAGTCTTTGGCCTTCCTTCAATTCTGTGATCCATGTCAGTACTTGTGGTGCTGGGCAGGTCCCTGGAAATGGACAGAGCTCATAGTCTCCATGTTAAAGTATGTTATTGGTCTAAGATTTGTAAACATTGTACAATAGCAACTGTTTTTGGTAACAAATTACTTTTTGGTAGAATTGTTTACCCAATACATTGTGTTGTTTAGGTTACTCTGAACAAAGAATTTAAGGTTTACTATTTTAAAGAAATATGTTTAAAGAAAGTTTCCCTCTACAAAATAATAATGTGTAATGATTCGGCTTATATTTTGCTCACAGTAAATATTATACTTGTTAATTATAAATCAGAAGTGTTGTGACTTACATATTTATAGCTTATACCTTTTATGATTTATTTTTCTGCTAATGTATGACTGCAATTTTTATGTTTTAAAGTGTAAGTCACTATATATAATATTTATCTACATATATAGATATAGATAGATGGATGGATAATGTTTTTATAGAGGATTCCATATAAGTATATAAATAAGAGTCATTGTCCTTAGGATGGGCAAGATTTAGAGTTTTAATTTCTAGACCTTGTGATCTTTCAAAAATTCTAAAATTTCCTTATTGTTTCATTGTTTTCTTATAAAATTAACCCATGTATTAGATTTTTAATTCCATAAAGGCAAGGGTGGAAAAGTTATTTCTGGGATGAAAAGAAAGTGGCGTGCTTTTAGGAAGGGGTTTCAGAGTAGACTTGCAGAAGAAAGAGATTATAGAGTAATTGTTTTCAACCTTACTAATGCTGTGAGCCTTTAATAGTTCCCCCATCTATACAACTATTTCATTGCTACTTCATAACTGTAATTTCCCACTGTTATGAATCATAAAGTAAATATTTCATATATAAGATATCTAGTATGCAATCCCCAAAGGGGTCATGACTAACAGACTAAGAAACACTGCTGTAGAAGATCACATGAGCACTCAGGGGCAAGAAGGAAGTCTCATTCATATATTCTATGCTAAAGGAATGACTTCATCTCTCAGTGCAGCTGACTAGATTTTTATTTTACCTATCATATGACATTCTCGTGGATGTGAGGGTTCAAAGTTATCTTGTAGGGATCAAGGGTGTTTTGTGATCATCTTCAGGCAAACTTGGATTTATACTGCCACTGAGGGCCATGGTTGGGCCCACAGTCCTACTGAAGTGGGGTCTATGTTGATGTCTCTTGCTTCATTTACCACCAAAGGTCAAGTGGGGAGATGTCTGTGGTCTATGCTGCAGCCTGAAGCCATTCTGCCGCCGAGGGCCATACTGATGTGACTACCCTGTACCTGAGGCCATGATAATGTCCAAGGTTTGGGCTGCCTCTGAGGACCCTATCTGGGTCTATGGGCTCACTGCAGCCTGGAGTCATTTTAGTGGTCTGTACTGTCACCAGAAATCTCGTGGAATGCCATGTTCCATGTTCCCAGTGACTCTAAAGAGCAAGAAGCTACTTTGGCAGTGATACCAATGATTACAGACATATAGTTGAGAAAGAGGAACGTGGAAGTGACAACCCTTACCTTCACCCCAACTCCCACTCCACCCCAAAGTAGCAGCTTAAACAGGAAGCCACTGACGAGAACTCTTAGCTCTCCACAATTGATGGCTTCTGGCAGGGGTACCACTCAGTTCTGTCTAAGGGGCAGGCCACTGAGAATTTGACCATGCTCTGGTGAGTATACAGATAACGCGAATTAGACTTGTTTGGCGGGGAGGGTGAGTACACATGAAAGGACCGGGAAATAAGTGTGATTGCTGTGTGCTGCACATGATAAAATTCCCAAAGAATCAATAAAAACCTTATGTTGGAAAAAAGTAGGTACTTTAGGAAAAACTAGTTTGCTCAAGAGAGCATTGATAAAACTATTTTGCTCAAAAGAACCCTGTTAAATTCCAGTATTGTATTTGTAATTGTTTTAGACAGGTGTTCTAACCCAGGCTGGTTTCAAACTCACTGCATAGCAGAGGACGAATTTAAGCTTCTGTTCATCTTGCATGCATTGCCCATGAGATAGAATTACAAGGATGCACTACCACAACATGTGGTTCAGGGGAATCAAACCGAGGGTTTTATGAATGCTGCCCAAGCTTTTCTATGAATAGAGCTCCATCTCTAGCCTGGAACATTCTTGAAATTTGACATTTTGTATGGATAATTCTCTCCCTAATGCTGGTCCACTTTTACCCACCTAGCCTTCTTCCTTCAAATAAACACACAAACACAAGCCATAGACCGGGTTTCTCTGAAAGCCAAAAACTTTGAGACAAAATCATCATAGAAGTAAAGCCTTACCTTGAGGTGGGAGGAAGGAAAATCTTTTTTATCATTGGCATATTCCCAAATGTCTTTAAATCCTGGGAGCTAGTAGACACAGAAATTAAAACTAGTTTGTGCTATAATTAAACATTGATTTGAAGTTATAGGGGGTGGGGAGAGAGGGAGTTAGTCTCCAGAATACAGAAATTGCCTTTGAAAACTACTCCAATGTAGAGTAAGTAATATTCAGTCAAGTGGGTTTCCTGAACCCACACAGGCCTGTGTTCCCTTGTTGAAGGACATGGGGAGAGCCAACCAGATCTTCTCTTCAATAACAGATGAATTTCTTCTCAAATTCTATTTTGCCACCCCCTTTTAGACGAGATTTAAAAAATCATCTTATTTTTAACATTTTTACAATTAAGGCTATAAATTATAGAGTAATATATTCACTATTTTTAAAAGATGTTAAAGCGACTGAGAAATCTTTACCACTCTGCTTTATGAACTCCATGGCACTGCCTGCATGATGTAAAACAAATGTTTGCTTGATTAGCGAGGAGCCTCTCACACGGCCGTCAGAAAGAGAAGATGGATGAGTTCGCATGATAATTTCCAGGGCCCTTATTTAGCAAATGCTGTGGGTGTGCTTTTCTTCGCTGTTCATCTCAGGAGTGAACATGACAAAAAATGACTGCAATTTATAGGCAGTGCCATCCTTAAACGTGTCCTCCATGCTTCTGCCGCTGGGAATGTGAAAGCTACAGTTGTAGATGCCTTCTGACAGGCAAAGCCATCTCTAATTGCTCTCTCTGCTCTTTTGTCTGTATTTCTGAAGCAGGAACTGCACAGATCACACACAATGGTTTTCTTCGAAAATAATGAAAGTAGCAGTCAGATCTTTATAACTGTGGGGACTATAAGACAGTTCTGGGAAGCCAGCAAGGGCCCAGGATGACTTTCAATACATTAAGGCACCCCTTTCTAGCTGGCTTGTATTTGTGGAACCTAAAGCAGGAGGATTGCTGTGAGTTCAAAGCCATTGTGGCACCCTGTCTCAAAATCCAAACAAACAAGAATAACACCAAAGGACATCCTAATTTGGAAAGGGAGACTCTCATGAGATTTTACCCTTCTACAGGCAGCTAAGGATTCCTGAAAGCAGGAGAAATACTCTTCCCCAGGGAAGGGCACACTAGTTAGGTTATCCAATGCCCTATGGTCAATCTTGAAACTATGTGTGTGTGTGTGTGTGTGTGTGTGTGTGTGTCTGTCTTGATGTCTCTCTTTGTCTCTGTCTGTCTTTCTCTGTCTTTCTCTCTGTGTGTCTCTGTCTCTCTGTCTCTCTGTCTCTCTCTCTCTCTCTGTCTCTCTGTCTCTCTCTCTGTATCTCTCTCTCTCTCTCTCTCTCTCTCTCTCTCTCTCTCTCTCTCTGTGTGTGTGTGTGTGTGTGTGTGTAAAACAACAATAAAAGAAAAACAGGTCATGAATTTGAAGGAGCGCACAGGAATAGTAAATGGATGGGACTGGAGGGAGGAAAGGGAAGCAGGAAATGATGTTATTATGCTATGATCTCAAAAAACTATAATTATAATAAAACATTTTTAAATGAGAAAAACCTCTACGAAGAGACTGGGAGAGTATCTCAGTTGGTACTGTGCTGAATTAGTATGCATGAAGCCCTAGGTTCAATCTCCAGCCCTTTATACTCTGGTCATGCACAACAGTAGTCTCAGCATTCTGGTGGTGACTGCAGGAATATCAGAAACTTGGGGACATTCTTGATTACATAGAGAATTCAAGACCAGCCTGGGATACATGAGACATTGTGTAAAAAAAGTTCCTACCTTGGAGCCAAGCATTAAACAAACTACTGAAATTCTAATGGACATGTTCATGAGTTGTCGGGGAGGGATATAGTGTTGCCAAAGGGCCAATATGTTCTCTTACTACTATTACCTGTACTGGTTGCATTTAAGGCTTACTGTTTTGTTTTCCATTTTTATTATTATTTTATTTATTTACATTCCCATCGATGCCCCCCTCAGTCCCTCTCTCCCACAGCTCCTCATCCCATTCCTCCTCCCTGTTGCCTCTGCGAGGGTGCTCCCCCTCCACCAGGTCTCCCCCTTCCCTGAGGCATCAAGTCTCTGGAGGATTAAGTGTATCTTCAACCTTTAAGGCCTGACCAGGTAGATCTCTGCGATATTTGTGCCAGGGGCCTCAGACTGGCTTGTATATGCTCCTGGTTGGTGTCTCAGTCTCTGGGAGCTCCAGGGTTCTGAGTAAGTTGAGACTGCTGGTCTTCCTATGGGGTCAGTCTCCTCTTCAGCTTCTTCAGTTTTTCCCCTAATTTAACCATAGAGGTTCCAGAATGGTTGGGTGGGACCTGACAAAGCTGAAAAGCTTCTGTAAGGCAAAAGACACCATCAATAGAACAAATTGGCAACCTACAGATTGGGAAAAAACTTCACTAACCCTACATCTAACAGAGGGTAATATCCAAAATATATAAAGAACTCAAGAAGTTAACCTCCAAAAAACCAAATAACCCAATTTAAAAATGGGGTACAGAGCTAAACAGAGAATTCACAACAGAAGAATCTCAAATGGCCGAAAAGCACTTAAAGAAATAGTCAAAGTCCTTAGTGATCAGAAAAATACAAATCAAAATGATCCTGAGATTTCACCTTACACCAATCAGAATGGCTAAGATCAAAAACTCAATGATAGCACACGCTGGCAAGGATGTGGAGAGAAAGGCTTACTGTTTTTAATGTCTTCATTATTGCAACTTATATCCCTTGCACCTTCCAGGTTCAAGCCTCAAGAGCTTCCAAATGTGACAGAAGACCTAGAAACAGAAATTATGGAATTACCTATCAAATGAAATGTAATCCCAAAGGAAGTGCTATTCAATTCTCTGTATTTTACAAGCAAGCCAACAAGAACTAGAAACAAATGAACAAACAAATAAAAACCCAGAGCTTTGTGCCCATATAATCTTCACGTTTTTCTACCATTAGAAGTTTAGTTAATGTAGAAACAGACCCTCTCTTTTCCTCCATAGAGCCTGGGAGATAATTTTCTTAAAAGTGTTTTTCCATTCATTGATTAGTTCTTCAGAAAATAACTTCCAGAAATAGTAAAACCTGCTTAATCCAGATGAACTCATTTTATTTTTTTTTTAGCAAGTTAAAAATTTATGTTCCAGAATATAACTTTTGATTGTGTTTTTAAGACAGGACATTGGGTGGCCCAGGTTTGATTCCAACTTGGTATGGAGACTGAGGGTCACCTTCAATGTCAGACCTTCTCAAGAGCTAGAACCTGGGGTATGTGCTCTAACTGAAAAACCCTCCCAGCCTTGAAACATATCTTTAGCAAACAAGCTTCCATTATGTTTGGGATGGATGGATGGATGGATGGATGGATGGATGGATGGATGGATGAGTGTAAAGGTGGCACTTCTTAATGAGGTTTGATGTATTTTACTCATTTAGTACAGCCAAGAAAAGGGGGGAAAGAAACAAAGAGTATCAGGTTGATGTCCTCTGACAAACCATCATTCTCTGAAAGGGGAGTGATGGCAGATGTTGCCATTGTGTACTTTATCTTTCAGGAAAGGTGGACTGCTTAACTCACCTCATGCCAAGGCATCTTTCAATAAGAAAGCATCAAGATATGACACTACAAGAAGAAATAAGATGACTGCCAGAGTCCTACTATTTTATTTCGGTACAAGCCATGAGATTTCCTGTCTTGCTCCATCTTACACATCTTAGAGTTTTAGAAATCTGATGGCGCTCCTACTTGTGATGCAAAAAATAAAATAAAAAAAGGAAAAACAGTTCTTCCCTTTCCCTTACTCCGTTGGTTTGATATATTTGCCCTGTTTTGCTAGACCCTTTTGAAGAAAAAAAAATCTGCTTCTACATCTACCCACAAAGTGTTCGACAGATTGTCCTTGGGTCTAGGTAGCTACTTCCTCAGTTTAATTACACAAGTCCACTCCTACACAAGCCAGTCTTTCCTGAGTCTTGTGACGCCCCACCCTCGGCTTAGTCATGCAATTACAATCACATTAAATCGCCTCCACTTGAGTGGCTTCCTATGCGCACAAATGCACACACATTTCAGCAGTGAGCAGAAGCAATTATTTCATAACGAAACATTTCTTAGTAGCCAAGGTACAAGTCAATGTTTCTAGATGGTGTAACATGACAGGTCTCTGGGTGACAGTAACAGTAAAATCTGATTTAGTGGCAAGACTCATGAATCAGGTATCTTTACCTTGAGTTTTGTTACCCAACTCAGGATGAACTTCGAACATCTTTGATTTCCAACTCTTGTTTTCCTACTTGAGTAAGTATGAGTATGTATTGAGTATGTATTAACTCACTAAGAGTTTTGCACTGGCAGTTAAGTTTCCTGTCTGTCTTGGTTTTGTAGTTAGAATCATTAGTTGTCAGGGAACAGGCCTCTAGAATGGGAAAGACAGAAGATCACATTTTCTTGGCATAGCTGTTAAATAAACTCTGGTCCTCTTCCTCCTGGGCATTTAGCCACACAACATTTCTCAGGTGCCCTTGGAGTTAAGTATGGCCATGTGAGTGCATTGAAGTAGCAATAGACAGAAAATGACTCTAGACCTGGCTCACGAAACTCTTCCAAGCATGAGACTCTGGGTGTTCATCCCTCTACTCAAGATAGATACAAACACAGTCCAAACACAAATCGCATACTTAAATCCTTAAGAGATTGTTTTTGAGTTATATTTCATAGCTTGATTGCATGGCTCTCCAGTGTGAACTTTGTAGATAACAATATTGTATTGTAACATCAAAAGGTACTTCTTTTATTTGTAGTCTTATTTATTTGGAGAGACAAGGTCTTGTTAGCCCAATGTGCTGGCTAGTTTTATGCCAATTTGACACAAGCTATAGTTATCTTGGAAGAGGAAACCTCAATTTAAAAAATGCCCCCACCAGATTGGTCTGTGGGCAAGCCTATGGAACATTTTCCTGATTGATGATTGATAAGAGAGAGCTCAGGCCATTGTGGGTGGTAACACCACTGTGTTGGTAACTCTGGGTTCTATAAGAAAGTAGGCAGAACAAGAAACCAGTAAATTGCTCCTCCATGACATCTTCATTAGTTACAATCTCCAGGCTACTGCATCAAGTTCCTGCCCTGACTTCCCTAGATGATGGACTACAAACTGTAAGCTAAAATAAACCCCTTCCTCTTCAAGTTGATTTTGGTCATGGTGCTCATCACAGGAGTACAAACCCCAAATATGACACCTAGGTAGTCCTTGAACTCTTGCTATGCACCCAAGGATGGCCTTGAATGCCTAATCTTCATGCTTACATTTCCCAAGTGCTAGGATTATAGTATATCCAGCTGTACTACCAAGAGTATTATTTTTATCCCTAACAACAGTGATATATTTTTATTCTTTGGGATTTGGAAAATATTTCACACTGGTTTGTTAATGTCACCTGAAAGATGCTTTCAGGAAAAAAAAATTCTCATAACATCTGAAAGAGGATAGAAGGGGAAAAATAAAAGGATATAGAAAGTGGACTGCTCATGATTGAGACTGGTTCTTACCAGCCAAGAGTTAAGAATCTGAGCAGAGAGTGACAAAATTCACTGTGATGATACCATATATAGAAACAACATCCATTGTCCCTTTTATTAAAATTAGATTTTCTCTCATATAAAATATCCTTATTATGGTTTCCTGGTCCTCTACTTCTCCAGAACCACAGGCCCCATCTGTACCCACTCCTTTCTGTCTCTCATTAGAAAACAAATAGGCTTCTATGATAGCATAGCATAGCATAGCATAGCATAGCATAGCATAGCATAGCATAGCATAGCATAGCATAGCATAGCATAGTATGAAAAGAGCCCAAGAGAGGGCACAAGAATCACAGACCCACTCATTGATACACTCAAGAATCCCCCAAATCCACTAAATTGGAAACCATTTATATATATATATATATTCCAAATAAACATAAAAAAATACCCAGGAAAGAAGACAGGCTGCACCTATGCTAAAGACTATACAAGGCCAGATGACTAAACTTCAAAATTACAAAGTGATAGAATGCTGCAGATCAGAACCAAATTATTGTGGGCTATTTTGTCCCATTAAAGATAATTTATGATGTCACTGACTTAACATCCTTATGACCATCTAAACCAGTGTTTCTCAATCTGAAGATCAAAACCCCTTTAGGGGGATGTTACATGTCAAGATACCCTGCTTATCAGATATTTACATTATGATTCATAACTAGCAAAATTACAGTTATGACGTGGCAACAAAGTAATTTTTAATGGTTGGCGGTCACCAAAACATGAGGAACTGTACTAAAGGGTTACAGCATTTCAAAAGTTGAGAACCACTGATCTAAACTTTTAAAATGTATTCTTAGTAGACCATTAGTTTCCACCCACCCAAAAGCTAAGAATATCATCTGATAGCATCTGGCACCCTCTGTAGTTTTCTACCTTTTCTGTAGCGTATCTACCTGTGAACCCAATCAATATATTGGATAAATGCCTTGACCTATGACTCTTTTTGTCCATAAATGATAAAGTTCCATGTAACCACTTTTACAGTGCAACATCTTCCAGGGCAACCAGAATCACTGTTCCTGGCCATGGTCATTAATATCTGGCTAAAGAATAAACTGTTTCTTTTTTTGATGAAGGATATGTCTGCATTTACATAAGAATGTTAAAATAGGGAACTGAGAACATGTTGTTCTCCAGTTCTCTCTCTCTCTCTCCCTCTCTCTCTCTCTCTCTCTCTCTCTCTCTCTCTCTCTCTCTCTCTCACACACACACACACACACACACACACACACACACACACACACAAGAAAATGTTAAAATAACAATGAACCAAGGTGCATATGACCTTTGATTTTAGCTTTACTTCTTCCCCAGGTATAAATGTTCTAAGACCGTCACAAGCAAGATTATTTGTCCTGTTTTTGGTCAGGCACATCTCTTAACTCCCTTGTGACTTAACATTGTTATTAAAACTCCACTCCTCTCTCTCCTTGGCTCTCCAGTACTCTCACAGTACCTGTTGAATTCAGATGAGATAGAGCATAAGGTAGAAGACAGGTAGATCTTCTTACAGAATAACATGAGCCACTTTGAAGACTGGACAGTGACCAGATGGCACTGTGGAGGAAAACATTCACAGGGTGAGAGTGGAAATAGACAAGAAGAGCTAAACCTGTGGGCCTGAGTGTTTATGGAACCTTTATACTATTTTCTAAAGTCTCTGGCACAGGTGGCTTTCCTGTCCAGGAGATGGACCAAATGGATTAACCTTAAAAGAAGAGGACAGAACTGTGTTTGTGTTCTTTACCAGGAAGCCTTCTAGGTAATAATCTTAAACTCTTCTTGACACTTCATAAATTCGTATCTCCTCCTAGAGCAGAGATGAGATTCACACTCCATGCTCATATAACACTATAGATTAAAACATTAAGAGGAAAATATAGCAAATATATTGTGGTGGTGTGACAAAGAGTGGTCCCCATAGGCTTATATATTTGAATGCTTGGTCATCAGGGAGTGGCAATACTTGAGAGGGATTAGGAGGTATGGCCCTCTAGGTGTGGCCTTATTGAAGGAAGTGTGTCATTAAGGGTGGGCTTTTGAGGTTTCAAAAGCCCAAACCAGGCCCAGTGTCTCTCTCTTCCTGTTGCTTGTGGAAACAGACAAAAAAATAACTGTCAGCTACTTCTACAGTGCCATGTCTGCCTGAATGTCACCAAGCTACTCACAATGATAACAATAGACTAAACCTCTGAAACGGTAAGCTATTTCCAATGAAATACTTTCTTTTATAGGAGTTGCCATGGTCATGGTGTCTCTTCACAGCAATAGAACACTAAGACATAAATCTCATATATCTATAAAAAATAATCATAGTTTACCTCTGCCACTTCACCTCTTAGTATAGTTATTTAAATCATCATATGCTTTCCTTTTTGCATTACTTCATTCAGTTTCATCTTCATAACAATATAGAGTTTGTATTTTATCTACACCTTGCAGGTATAAAATCTGAAGCAGTAAATATACACATGTGAAGGTGAAGCAGTGGGATTCTGTGTTATGTGTGCCTAAATATATGATAGAGGTACACATGTACACACATATATACGTATGTATGTATGTATGTATGTATATTGAGAGTTTCATATATACAAGTGAGGTGCATATATACATAAACACACACACATACATACACATAAACACACACCTTCCTACCTACCTATCTTTAGGGGTTGTTGGGATCTCGGATGGTTACACGAAGGAGTTGTGCTCTGGATTAAACTCCCTGATTAAGAAGGGCAGAGTTTTGCTTGACCCACCTCAAGTAACCCTGGTTCATTTTTCAGAGAGTCTAGAAAATGAGATGGCTAGTTTTAGCAAGAAGTATCCTGATTTTATCTTCTCTTACGAGTCCATGGTTAAGCTGGAGGAGGAAAAAGATAGCATCATTATTATCATTCATAGCCCAGTGATTAATTCCAAGAATATGATAGTTAAAGATCAAGCTCTGGGAATTGAGGCCATTCCTTTCCCATTATGTCAGTACCAGTGGCAGAGAAGATGTTCAGGCCAGAAGAGAATTGTTATAATTGGGCTCTCTAGTGTTTGTTGGTAAATGAGTGTCAAAATCTTTGAAGAGGCACCAAGTACCTGGCACCAATAGGGTATGGCTGAATCAGAAGCTCACCAATGACAATGCTCCATTCTCTTCTGTGATTATTTTAAATTTTAAAGAGGGGCATTTGTGAGGCT